GTTTTAGACAATTTAATGTCCCCTTGTTCTGTTCAGGCAACTACCTCTTGGTCTGTATGCAGATTCCTCATGAGTATAATTTAGTGTTCTAAAATTATCCATACTTTAAAATGGTAGCTATAGTTTTTCATGATCCACACGGTTGAATGTCTTTGTGTAGTCCATAAAGCACAAATAAACTTCCTTTTGGTATTCTCTGCATTCAGCTAAAACCCATCTGACATCAGCGATGATATCCCTAGTTTCACTTCCTCTTATGAATCTGACTTGATTTTCTGGTAGCTCCCTGTCAATGTGGCATCCTGGTTGAATCTGTAGGCTCAAGCACTGGACAGCAAAGTAGCTGCTCCTCAGAAACCCTATATAGGGCCGCTATGAGTTGGAACAGATTTGATGGCACTTAACAACAACAACCCTGTCAGTGTACTGTTGTAACCATTATTTAATTATCTTCAACAGAATTCTACTTATATGTGATATTGATGATATTGTTCAATAATTTTTGCATTCTATTGGGTCACCTTTCTTAGTAATGGGCACAAATATGGATCTCTTCCATTGGTTGACCAGGTAACCATCTTCTAAATATCTTAGCATAGATTAGTAAGCTCTTCCAATGCTGTATCAATTTTCTAAAATATTTTCATTTACTTTCTGTCAGTTCCTTTTGTTACTAAATGCCAATTCAGTTCCGACTCATAGTGACCCTGTATAGGGTTTCTCAGGAGCAGCTGGTGAGCTTGAACTGCCAATCTTGTACTTCATACCAACTTTGCAGTCCAGCGCATGAACCTACAGTACCACACCAGGACTCCCTTCAATATTACAACCTGAGACTTGATATGTTTAATCAGTTCTTTCAGCTTAAGAAATGTTGGTGTGTTCTTCCCTTTTGGTTTTCTGACTACAGGTCTTTTCCCCTCTCATAGTAATACTTTACTTATTTTTTGTTCAGCTCCTTTACATCCTCCTTTCTTTAGCTACTTTCCTTTCAAGGGCAAATTTCAGAGTCCCTTCCGACACTCACTTTGATCTCTTCTTTCTTGCTTGTCTTTTTAATGATCTTTATCTTTCTTTCTGTAGAATGTTCTTGATGTCTACTCACAACTCCTCTAATGTTTCATCATTAATGTCTAATGCATCAAATCTGTTCTTGAGATGCTCTCTAAATTCAGGTGGGATGAAGCCCCAGAGCTCTGGTAGCTATGAATTGGGCTGCTAACCTCAAGGTCAGCAGTTCAAAACTACCAGTGGTTCAATGGGAGAAAGATGAGGCTTTCTGTACATGTAAAGAGATACAGCTTCAGAAAACCTATTATACAGGGTCACTAAGTGACTCCACTGCACATAACCACCACCACCATACTCAAGGTCAGAATTTGGCTCTTTTGGACTTGTTTTAATTTTCTTTAACTTCAGCCTGAACTTGCATGTGAGCAATTGATGCTTTTCCAAATATAATAAAATGAGGCCTGGTGGTGCCATGGTTAAAGCACTCAGCTGCTAACCAAAGATCTGTGGTTTGAGCACTCCAGACACTTTGCATGAGAAAGATGATACAGTCTGCTTGAATAAATATTTGAAGCCTTAGAAAAGCTCTTGGGAGTATTTTTACAATCCTGGTAGTGTAGTGTGCCGTGCAAATCTTTACGGAAGCAGAAAGCCTCATCTTTCTCCCGCGGAACTGCTGGTAGTTTCGAACTGCTGACCAATATGAGTTAGCAGCCCAGCTCATAGTCACTACTCACTCATCCTTGTTTTTGTTAAGTGCCATCGAGTCAGTTCTAACCCATAGTAACCATGTGTAGGATTTCCCAGGAGCAGTGTGGTTCAAATGGACTTTGCAGTGCAGCACATTAACCCCCAGCTCCACACCAGGACTCTACACCAGGACTGTTGTTGTTAAGTGCCTTTGATACGGTTCTGACACATAGCGATCCTGTATATGGTTTCCAAGGAGCAGCTGGTGAGCTTGAACCACTGACTTGCAGTTCAAATGGCTTTGCAGTCTGGCGCATTAACCCACAGTGCCATACCAATACTCTAGAGTGTAGATTTTAAGTCTGACTCCACTAAGGGCAGAATCCGCTGAGTTTAATGTAAGAAAATGGTTTCCATCTAGTGGACAAATTGTCATATTGCAACCTACAAAGACTAATACTAAACCTTGGACTCCAAGGATTGGTTTTGGTTTAGAATACTCTTCATCAAGCATCTTCTTTTTCTTTTAATTTTTATTGTGCTTTGGGTGAAAGTTTACAGAACAAATTGATTTTCCTTTTAACAATTCATTCACATTTTGATTTGTGGCATGCGCTGCAGCCTTCACAATGTAACAGCATTCCCCACTTCCTCTGTGGTCACCATTTCTATTTGTTTATGTTTCCTATGTCTTCCTGCCTTCTGAGCTTTATTCCTGGATCATTGCTGCATTTTTGTTATTATATAGTTGACTGTTCTAAAGAGTTGGTGTTAGTGTTCACCTTCACAATGAACATAGATGTGTATACATCTGCTCATTTCATGGTTCTTATTTCTCTCTATACCTGGTTGTGGGATTGCTAGATTATATGATATTTCTAGTCCCACTGTTAAAGAAAATGCCATACCATTTCTCACCATTTTCTAATCCCACCAGCAAAGTATGTGGGCTCTAGTCTTTTCAAAGTCTCACCAGCATTTGTTGTTTTGAACTTTGCTTTCAATGCTGGAGTGAGATGATATCTCATTGTTCTTTTGATTTGCATCTTCCTAATGACTAAGGATTGAGAACATTTCTTCAGGCTTTTGTTGGCCACCTGAATGTCTTCTTTGATGATGTGTCTATTCATGTGCTTTGCCCAGTTTTAAATTGGGTTGTTCACATCTTTGTTGCTGATATGTTGAAGTTTGCTATAGATTTAAAATATTAGTCCCCTGTCAGATACCTGGTTGCCAAAAAATGTTTCCCACTCTGTAGCCTTTTAGTAGAGGCTTTTGATGTTAATTTTAACTGTTCAATTTTAGGAGATCCCAGTTGTTTGTTTTTCCCAGTCTTTTGCTGTTTGTGCATTTGTAGTTATGATTAATAGTGTATTTATGCCCTATATGAGGGACCTTGAGTTGCCCCTCATTCTCTATTGATCTTTATAATTTTAGGATTTACATTTAGGTCATTTGGTGGGAAATTGCAAACCCCTGGCGAGAAAGGCCATATAAAAGTGATCCATTGCAAAAGATTTTCATACTACAAGAAACGTTTTTTGGTGGTTACCAGGGGTGGAAGGGAAGGGAGAGTAATTCACTTGCTAAAGGCTAGATACATGTTAACTCCAGTGATGTGAAGGGCAATTTGTAGAGGGAGGTTGGCAAAGAATGATGAAGACACAGTGAAGAATGCAAGGGTTAAAGGGGATAGAGGTTGCTGTTATTGTTGTGTGCTATCGAGTTGGTTCTGACTCACAGAGACCCTGTACATGGTTTCTGAGGCTGTAAATTTTTATGGGTGTAGAATGCCTCCCACAGAGCAGCTGGTGGATATGAACTGTGGATCTTGCGGTTAGCAATCCAATGCATAACCCACTATACCAACAAGGCATAGCAACCCCGGAATAGCAATGTTCTACTGGTGAATACATGGATAGATACACAGACAGAATGGGTATGGAAAAGAGAGAGGGAATATTCCCACAAATATATAAAATTTGACAATACTTTTACGTGAGTATTTACCTTTGCTTCAAATGATGTACCTCTGAATGTGGTGGAGCATTGTTGTTGTTATGTGCCGTGGAGTCGGTTCCGACTCATAGCGACCCTGCACAGGGTTTCCGAGGCTGTTAATCTTTACGGGAGCAGAACTCCTCATCTTTCTCCTGCGGAACCGCTGGTAGTTTCGAACTGCTGACCTTACAGTTCACAGCCCGATTCGTAACCACTACGCTACCAGAGCATAGAGGGGGCAAAATGAGGATTTTACCAAACATCTTACAGCAATGAGTTGCGTCTTGGGCTCAAGACTACAGTCTCAGGAAACAGTTGGCATAATATAGTCCACAAAGACAATATTCTATGTCTTACTTTGGTGTGAGTAATGACTGGGATCTTTGTGAGTAGCCATCTAAAGTACAACTATTGGTCTGTCTATGTGTGGAAGAAAGCAGAGTGATGGAAATTCAATATGCTTGGAATCAACTAGTCCAGTGAACCAAAGGAGCATGTGAACACCAGTCTCCATAACTCAGAGACCTGAAGAACTAGATGGTGCCTGGCTATTATTACCAACTTCTCTGAAAGGAATCACATTAGAAGGTCCTGAATAGAATGAAAGAAAATGTGGGACAAAACTCTAAATTATTTTTTAGAATAAAGGACTGGTTTTACTGGTCAGAAAGAGGCTGGAGGAACCTGAGACTATGACCCTTGGCCAACCTTTAGGCCTGGAACAAAACTCACTCTCTTGGCCCAATTTTCAGTCAAGCAGTAGTTATGTTTATAGGGGGCAACAACACTAGTAAGGTATCATGGAATGATCAGTCAGAATCTAAAGTGTAACATTTACTTAAGGACAAAGTTCAGAAGGGATAGAAAGGAGGTTGGAATGGAGGTAAGAACCACAGGGAAGCAGTGGGATAACTGTTGGTACATGGAAGGGATTGCAATCATTGAGATGAAATTAAGTGCATGATTTGTTGAATATAAAATTGGTCTTCTCTAAGCCTTCATTCGATTCACAATAAAAAGTTAAAACAAAAGAAAGTGATCCATTGTACCATATGTAATCTCATATCTTTATCTGTCTTATAAGTGGTCTATCAATAATAGTATCCAAAAGCTTACATGGGCAAAATGTAACGTCAGTGTGTGCTCTACTTTTGTGTATTTCAATATGACTGGTTTTTAACAGCAAGAATCAGCTATAGATTTTCATCCTGTCAATTCCTAAACTGAAGCCTTTCCTTTTGCTACAATATCAGTATGTAAGTATTACAGCACTATAACTCCTTCTCCTTCTTCGACAGTTTTGATGTGGACAATGGCACATCTGCGGGACGGAGTCCCTTGGATCCCATGACCAGCCCAGGATCTGGGCTAATTCTCCAAGCAAACTTTGTCCACAGTCAACGTCGGGAGTCCTTCCTGTATCGATCCGACAGCGATTATGACCTCTCTCCAAAGTCTATGTCCCGGAACTCCTCCATTGCCAGTGATATGTAAGTAAAAGGGTGGGTGAAGAGAAGAGGGAGCTCCTATAGGAAATCAAGTAAATTATCAAATGATTTAATGGTTTCATAAAATCTCTGATTGTTGTTTGTCTATATCACTCTCCTCTAATATAGAAAGAATAGTGAGCAAAATGATACAATATTTTGAGAATTCTGTCATTATTGATTTTTAAAAAAAGTTTATTTTTACAAAAAAAAATTTCTTGTCTGGGAGAAGTGAATTTTATTTTCAGGCTCATTTTTACATTTAAAATGTTTGCGTACGTATGACCTAGTTTTTAGTTACCCAGACTTACAGATGTTTTCTATATGTTTCAAAAGCTTTAAATTCATTTGGAAAATAATCCCCGTGCTATTAGAGTATACATAGCATTTTGGGCATATCTCGATTAATGTTTCTTACATAGTTTAGCAATGGTTTTCCATATTGTTTAAGAAATCTTTGGGAATTTTATCCAAAGTAAACCATTTTGTGAATATGAGTTGATAGAGACAAGCACAGAACATATTAGACAGACTTGAATAGTCTATAGACTGGCATCAATTAATTAATTAATAGAAAAACCAGTATTTAAACACAAAGTTGTATCCTTTAGAACTTCAGGTGAAAGCATATCACTTTCAATATTTAATTATGAACAAGTCTATATCATCTTTCAAAAAATACTCAGTCTAGCTTTTTGTTTGGTCTGATTTTTCAGTCATGGAATTTTTTTTAAATGTTTTATTGTGAATTATGTGATAGTTTACATGGGAGAACATTAGTTTTACATTCATCCTACCGTATATCATTTCATTGCCATGGTTACAATCCCCTCCATGCATCATCAACTAACCAAAGAGTATACCCGACAAGCCTGCCCCCCGGTTCATCCATGGAATTTTGTCAGTAAGTTGTATCTCTTACTATCCTCCCGTCCGAGTTGTCTATATCTGAGTTTTCTGTTTCCTTACCATGCTGTATTTCCTTAATATCCTGAAATCTAACTTCTATTCACACTAAGTTATAGAAGACCATTTAATTCAGGTAATGTTTACAGGTCACCTATAAATGGGAAGGCATGCTGTCAGTTATTAGAAGAATTGCAAGGTGCAGCTATCTGGTGAAGGTTCATTATTGCTGTGCTCTCTGGCCTCTTTCTGACTAACCACTTTTTCACCAGCACCTCTCATAACCCCTTAATACGTCCTACACAAAGCCCAGTCCCTGAATCTCTCCACTCACCTTTGAAGAATTCTTTTATGTTGTGGGTTCAGCTGTCTGCTTTTGTCAGATGACTTACTTATCTCTGACCCTGCAACCTCGCTTGAGCTCCACATTGTTGTTAAGTGCCATTGAGTTGGTTCTGAGCCATAGTGATCCTGTATAGTGCTTCTCCTACAGTGCCACATTGGGACTCTTGAGCTCCACATCTGTTGGTGGTGGTGTTAAGTGCCGTCGAGTCGATTCCGACCCATAGTGACCCTGTATAGAGTTTCCAAGGAGTAGCTGGTGAGCTTGAACTGCTGACC